TCTCCTTCGCCATCACCCTCATCTCCTCCATCACTTACTTTGTGCTACGTAAGAAGACGGCGTGAGCTGGACACTAGAGCGCCCCCTGCCCTCCCCACCCCCGACTCCCCTCCGTGCCACTGCGTCTCTGCCTGGATCCACCCTGGCCGCTGAAATCTGTGTCCGGACCAGAGTTAAAGTTGAAACTGATCCGATGTGAAGCTGCCGGTGTCGGTTCAGCCTCAGACGCCGCTCGACGATCTCGAAAACAGGCACTTTACGTGATTTAGTGAGTCTGCGCTCAGATCGTGGGAAGTTCGGTGAATGCAGTTGAAGACAAACTCAGTCAATCACAATGTAATCTGAGGGAAGGGGGGGTGGAGGGGGAGGGGGGGTTAAGAATATTTTTGTAGTTATCTTTAAAAAAAAAAAAAAGGCCTGGATGTTTACAAGATAAATTAAATTAGAATAATAATCTGTAATTGTCCCTGAAAAAAATCTGTGGTCTTTGTTTTAATGTATATTCATATATGGATGTGAGAGTTGGATTTACAAAGGGTTGAGTTTATAATTTTAGTTTTTGTTTTTTTTTGTTGTCGTTCCCTCTTCATATAATGTGCCACTAACGATGACAGTTGTGTAAGTGTGAAACTGGAAACGTAATCGTGTTGAATTATTTATCATTAGGTGAATGTTTTAATCGTTCTAACCCTGACCAGCAGGTGTCCTCAGAGTTAACTGTTAATCCACGTCATTAAAGTGAAAGTCAATCCAAACCAGCGTCTGTTCTGACCCCGACAGTCAAATATACTGTAACATGTAAATATTTTTTTGCCACCGTGTTTCTTCTTGTGGTTCCGTGCGGCTTCTGTTCTTTTTTTTTTTTTTTTTGTAAGAATCATTCGATGATGATGATTTTTGCAACAATAAAACTTGATTTTTATCCAACTGATCAGACTGTTGTTTATTCTGTTTAGACCCAAAGTTCCGCAGGTTGATCCCGACCTGGTCCCAGGAACGGGTTGCGTCCGAACGACCGCCCGACTGTAAAACCTTGTGAAAAGTTACCACCTTAGAAGGAATTCAACGGAGACATTTAGGAGTTGACAAACAATAACGCAGAGTAGCTGTGGATTAATCGTGATTGATCGCAAACTTAGCTAATCTGTTAATTTTGTTACGAAGAGTTCAATTTAAATTCCTAAACATGACACACAACTTGGGCCGCGCACCTGAGGTTGAAGCCCCTCACAAACACCTGTTGGGGGTCGTGAGGGTATTTTAAGCCAGAGGTTCTTGGTTGAAACTAAAACTCTTTCACACAGTGTGTGTAAATAACACGTGTATTTAACTCGACTGATTTTTTAGCCCAGATTCCAATTAGAAAATGATTCCATGTTGTTATTTGTTTGATAAACCCAGTCTTTTAATTTATTATATCTCGTTGTTGACGTTGTGACTCAGAGCGGACTGCAGTCCTCGTCTGGTCCACCACAGTTCCCCTGGTGTTCCAGGGCGGAGACGGGTGGTGTGGGTGACGGAGATGAGGAGGGGAGAGACAAACGGTGGAAAGGGGAGTCG